CAGAGTGGGTCTCCTCAGGGTACCGTCGGCCAGACAGTGCCGGCTGGCGACCCCAAGGGGGAGGGCCTTCTCTGTGGGAGCTCCCACCCTCTGGAACGAACTGCCCCCAGAGATCAGGGTGATTCCTGATCTCCCTTCCTTCCGCCGCGCCCTCAAGACGTGGTTGTTCCAGCAAGCGGGACTGGCCTAGGGGATTTTAATTACTTTTAAATTGGACATTCTCAAATATTTCATTTTAATTAAATTTTAACTAGGTGTAATATGTTAGCTTTTTATCATTTGTCAGCCGCCCTGAGTCCGAAAGGAGAAGGGCGGGATATAAATGCAATTAATAATAATAATAATAATAATAATCATCACATTCCCAAATTTGTAATAATTCAGATATATATTTGTATTTGTATATACCGTATAAGTCATGTCAATATGTAGGTCATAAACTGCAAAAGAACTTCTTTTCCATTTCCATTCTTTTCCCTCAGCTACCACTAGGAATTGTGATTTAATTGAGCTTTTAATAAAACACACAGTCAACACTGCATGTATATATACATACATAAGTTTCTGATCTTGCCAAATGAGAAATTCTTGGGATTTTTCCAGAACAATAAGACCTTTTTAAGGCTGCATGAGTTTAATTGAAGTTCTATATACTCTCTTGGTGAATTCTGTTAATTGTGAAACTCTCTGTTTCCCACCATCCACAGCCCCAACCAAGAGTATGTTCTGATCTTACGATTTTGTCCCACATCATGATAGGTGAGGAAGGCTGGACGCTTGGGCTTGGGTGTTCCATGGATGGTGATGGTCACAACCCCATAAGGTGTCTCCACTGTGTGTTTCTGTAGAAGAATAAGAGAGACTAAGATGAACAAATGAAAGATTGTAAATATCCTAGCCCAGTGTGAGTAATTGCAATGAGGATAACCCTGAATTCATAGAAAGGGAAGTTAAATTGAGAGGGCTGGCGAGACCTTCAGGCAACATCTTCAAGTATTTGGGAAAACTTTGCATGTTCACAAGCACTCACTCTGTGATGTGGAATCTGACAAATTTAGGATGCTCCAAATTCTATGTAAATGAAGCTTGTATGCATTTATACACACAAACAAAAAATTGTTCCTATGGAGCCCAGCTTCAACCACAGCTTTTCCATATAAGAAGACCAAACAACATGCTGGGGAAAAAAGCCCTTTGGAGCCAAAAGACAACAGAGAACTGGCAGAAGTTCAAACATTACTCAGGGTCAAGTCAGTTATGTATGTGAGGCTAGGACTAGGTAAATATAGTGTCTGCATAAAAAAGAAGCCATTACTGTACACAAATGTAAAAAAAAATAATCCTGACTTTTGCAGATTAGTTAGCTTATTTTGCAAAATGTATTCTGCTTATCCATATAACATCTGCCTCCTTCCAATTGCTCAGTCTAGTTAAATTGCTAGAAAAAAAGCAAAACAACTTATCATGGAATACCTCTGTATCTTTAATTAAAGTTTATTTTTTTTAAAAAAAAAAATTTGTTGAAGGGAAGTTCTCATAGCACAGATAAAAGACAGATTATCCCCCTTCTATGAGCTGCGTATTGTCCTGTTACCTACATGGCAGCTGAAAAACTGGTATTTCTCTTCCTGCTTCCCTCTCACCATCTATATTTCCAGCTTTAAGGAATGGAACCTTGGTTCCAGAAGCCTCTATTTTAATGAAAAACTATTAATGTTGGAATGCTGTATCTTCACTGAAAACAACCACATCAATATTGTAGCTGTATATCTCTATTTTGACAGGTTTTTTTTGACTAAAAGTGAACTCAGCAACTTTAAGATGTGGGGATTTCAACCCTCGGGATACTATGGTAAAAAGTCATATTTGTTACTAAGTTTTATGGTTCCTGATAGCTTGTTTTCCACTTATTCCTACTTGGAGTTCAGCTCAAGGTCCTTATGCCAGTTTTCACCCTTCAATATAAACATTAAATTTATAACGTATAAATATAATCTGTAATTGTAAAACCTATCTTGAAAATACTGTGTTCTGAAGGACTTGGTAGGTTAGAAAGTGTGATTTTCAGAACAAGCCTTGCTTGACATTTGTCAACCGTAATGTTACTGTTGTCTATTCTACCACATTTTAGAACAAGTGTTCAATTCATCACAGAGAACACACCATCTCCACCTTGTAGTTTTTATAATGCCCAGAGAAGGACTTGGGTCAATAATGAAAAACAATCAAGTTCTATTTTGTTTTGCTTTAAGTTCATTGTTTATTCTCCCAGCCCTTCCTGCTAAGATTTTTTCTGATGGCACACAAGTGAGTTCAATGTGTTCAAAAGCAACTGGAGAAGCAGGGAAGGGCTGTGCTATTTGGCACCCACAGATATTTATTTCCAGAACCAAAATAACACAAGTCAAGAAAAAGGAGGAAAAGGGGAAATGAGAAAAGCAGCTCAGAAGACAGGTAGTATATTTAGATGTAATAAGTATCTTGAGGAAGAGGACCACAAAAGAAAAAAAAAGGAGTTGGAACTGGTGAATTGAGATGAACAACCTGGGATAAGCTCACCACATGAAACACAATGTGTACTGTGCATTGTGGCTAACTAACTTTGCTTTTTTGTCCCTCTTTTTTAGAAGAGTAGGGTATTATGTAGTGGTTAAGGTGTTAGATTGACTGAAGAAATGTAGATTCAAGCTCTCTGTTGATTCTGCTCAATCCAGCCTACTCACAGGAAAGGGATAAATTGGCAGTAGGCATGACTTCCCAGACAAGCAGAAAATAATGGTTATTATTATAAGGAGAGATTGAATACCTGAGCATAGTTCCATCAAGCCAAATAGGCCACTACTTATGCATTGTAGGTTGTCAGGGTTGTTGTATCTTAATTATTGCGTACATAGGCAATCTATATCCATTTTTGGATGAATTTGTGCTGGAGGAGAACAACCACATAGTGGAGTATTTCAAGTATTCCCAAGAGAAAAACTCATATTTGTATATTTGGCCCAACCCTGTATATACTTGGCCCATTTTCTAATAATTAAGATGTACAAGCAGGTTCTGAAACTTCTGAAATGGTCTACAGTTCCTGCTTGACGTGGTAATAAACACCAATTTTAATTAATTTGTCTACATAGACAACTTTCTGGTATGACACTTAATGGTGCCCTGCAGCACAGTCTGTCCAACATCAAGAGAAGATCAAAGTGAGGAGTCTGTATACTTATATCTACAACACAACCCACATGGGCACATAACAATATTCATGACTGTAAAATTACAGACAGACCCCCGCCCCCGGAATTTTTAAAAATATGTCAATAGTGTTCCTTTTGACCAGTCAGTTATTCCTTTAGTTTAGTCTGAACAAGAACGGTCAGAGATAAAAACTGGAACCCATAATGTACAGCAGTGAGAAAAGTTGCAGTTCTAACATTCTGTCTCTTTTAAAAAGTACAAGAGGCCCCTTCCCACTTAATGGCCTGTCCATTTATGAAAACATGCATCTCTACAAGCAGTTTTGTCTTAGTTTCAGCAGTCATTTAGGCGACAGATGAAAAATTGCTCCATGTTGACATGAGTATTTACAAAGTTATTTCTCCTGCCTTCCTTTGGATGCTGTTATATCAGCTACTGTTAGAGGACTGAAGTGTAATCTAATCTTGGATTGTTTTATAGCCTCTCCTGTAGTCTGCTTTATCAGTTGTAGTTTTTATTACTTTTGTAGCAATTCTAGATGAGTAGCCTCAGAGCTGGTGACAGTTTGGCAGGGCTGCGTGGGTTCATCAGGTCCAAGGAAGCCACTTCCCCACAAATAGAAAAGCCAGATAGGCGCAAAATTGGTGAGGCTGGTAAAGGCCCTCTGTCTCCATAGCAAAAGATGGTCTGCCAGCAATTCTAACAGTCTCTCCTTCTTTCTCCTTCCTTTGCTAAAACAAGCATCAGCATAGGCAAAAGGATGCAGTCAGTTTTGCTAGCAAGCACTACTGAAGTTGCCTAAATTATTTGATTCCACCCATAGGGATGTTCACAGGGCAAGTCAAAAATAAAAAAGTCAAGACAATAGCCACCATTGTGTGGTTTTGACTTTTTTTTAACAGCCACCCCTTCCCTCCTCTGAGAACGCCTCTGTCTACCCAAGGTGCAACTGAGTTCCCAAAAGAGTCCTTTTCAATCTTTGAAACATGGTGGGGAATTAAAAGAGTGCCACGGCAGTAACCCTGTTTGGCTTGGCTTGTTCCTGCGCTTTTCTTCAGAATGGAAGGGTGGTCCTAAGTAGATACCCAAAGCCAACACTAAGCTTCATTGCCATTTTGGAGGGAGGCCATAATCGACTTCTTGCACAGTATCGTCACACTTAAACAAAACGGACGGGAGAGAAATTCAAATTTTGTGCTATATTCTAACCTTTTCCCCCTTTCCCCATTGAAATCCTAGTTATGTTTTCTCCGAACTCTTTTCCCTCGTTAATTGTTTCCTCATTTTTTTCTTCTTTCCCCAACTAGCTGTTAACATTCTGGAGCTCCCAAATACACTTAGTTTTCAGTTTAGCTGTTTTGGAGAGTTTGTATACATGCTTAGATTTGCTTATTATTTGCTTTGTCTCCAGACCTAAAATGAAATCGCTATCGCTCTATTTTTTTTGCTAGCTCTCAGCAGCAACAATTTTATTGTCTGAGGGAATGATAAATAAAACTAAATGTGCAGCTGACTGAACAGGACTGGAACAGCTGGTAAGCTTGGGGGCCAAGTCTCCTGGATTCACCCACGAGTTCAGGGGATGGAATGCGAATGTAAGAGGGCCAAGCAGTTCAAAGTAACAAGCAATTTGCTTGGTAAAGCCGGGCCAGACAAGGGTCTAAAGCTCAGTCTTCTAGTTTGGAGCATGGGCTTGGCTCACCTCACAGGAGGTCAGATGATATAATAAAACTTTTGCAACAAGAAAGAGAAATTGCTAATTGGTATCCAAAGTAGGCAAAAGGTTTTCTTGTCCTCTTTTTTTTTAAAAAAACCCTCTGTTTTGTCATATAACCTTACTGTAACCCTGTAGGCAAATATTCCTATTTTGTAAACATGGGGGAAGAGAGCCCACATGATAACTTCAAGTCCAGTCAAGGGGTTCATGACTAAGCAATTATTTCTCTAGGTGCATGACAGGCAGGCGTTGCAACAGGTGCACAATGGTGCATCAGAATGGCCAATGGACTGATAAACAGCTCAGCCTGCTCCTATGCCTTTCAAAGCTGCTTAATATTCAGGGATAAAGGGAAGTGATAAGCATAGCCTTGTGCTGGTGTCCACGGTTTAAGCTGCTGCTGCCAGCACAAAGGCAAGGGTGTTTAGAACATTTGGCAACCCCGTTACACAACAATGAAGAAAGCTGCTAGGGTTGAAATTCATGGTACTTCTTAAGATCATACCACAAAGCAAGAAAGTTAGCTTCCTATTCTCTGGCCAATAAGGTAGATGGCCAGTAAGTGTAGTGGTTGAAATGCTACAATTGGAACAAAGCACAGAGAGTTTTTGACTTACAATCATTAGTTTAACTGTTTGAAAAAAGGGCCTTACAACTGCTCTCATGCTTTAGGCTGTCAGAGCATGCTCATAGTCATGTGATCAAAGTTTAGGCGCATGGCTACCAGATTTACAATGGGTTGCAGTGTCCCAGGATCATGTGAACAACATTTGTGATCTTCCCAGCTGGCTTCCAACAAGCAAAGTCAATGGGGGAAGCCAAATTTACTTAACGATTGTGTGGTTCACTTTATAAATGCAGTGATTTCGCTTAGTCATGACAAAAAAGTCATAAAATTGGGCATGGCGCACTTACCAACCACCTTGCTTTATC